CAACTGAATTATGAACCCAGGCAGCTAACTCACTTACTTATATATGTATATATATTGCCTTCCTGGATTCCTGGAAACCTAATGTGGTAAGTGCACATTACCTTGATGTAGTATGAAGATAAAAAGTACTGGGTTAATAGATTATGAGGAACAGTGAAAATGGGCATAATACAAGTGAACAAAAATATAAGACTATGCATTTACTTACATATTGTGCTTTAAGAAATAAGCTATCTAAGCACTGAAACAAAAAGGGGGCAATCATCTGCATAAGCTAAAGGGAAGCCAAATAAAGGTAAAAATATAGACTTTTTAAAAAGACAAAATATCTAAAATGAAGTCTGTTCCACGTGTAAGATGATAGGGTAAAGTCATCAAACACATCAGTAAAAAGGCTGGAGTGTTGTCAATCATCTGGCTGAAAAAGAGGTGATTTCTCTCTTGCACCAAAGGGTTAGTCATTAAGAAATTATTGTATGTGGCAACAGATGCTAGCTAGCCTAGATGTTAGGGCCATTAAGTGGGTAGACTCCTCTTATATCTACTGTACCAAAATGGACAAAACCATAAACGCTTATGAAGAGAGGAGAAAGAAGGAAAGAACCTTATTTCTAGCCAGGAAGACCTAAGGGACCACATTCAGATTAGAGAGATGGTTCCTAAGGTAATCAACCTCTTGGGGTTGGGGCTTGGTTAGAAGATAAACTATGAAGGGATGAAGGCAATGAACTCTTTATAACCCCTATGCTGGGCTTTCTTTTGTATTTATATAATTCAGTTGTATGTATACCTCAAGAAAAATCTCAGTCTCTCACATTTTAATTTTTATTTTCCAGCTCTGGAGATTCATTGGGAACATGCCAAATGTAAAAAATATATATTAAATATTAATACTGCGAAAGTGTGATTTTTTTTTTCCAAAAATATATCTAAATGCATAAAGATACAGCTAATCCTGATCTTTCTTTTCCCAAATGTAGTGCTATAATTGTGCCCAATTACTAATCTCTGAATTTTAAGAGTATTTGGAAAACAAAGTTAAACTTGAGAACTGCTAAATTCATGGCAAATGAAGTTTCTTTACTCTGGGAATGATTTTGATATTCTTCCTACTATCACTACAATAAATTCTAACGTATTTATATCTATTAAAACATTAAAAAAAATTTTTTTTGTAGTTATAGATAGTAATGTGGTGCTGAGGATCAAACTCAGGGCCTCATACATGCAACGCAAGTGCTCTGTCACTGAGCTACAATCCTAGCCCCCATTAAAACATTTAAATACTAAATTTATTTAATTAAAATACCTTTAATGTTGACTACATACATACAGTTATAATAGTACAAATCAAAGCTGCTTCTATCAACAGTTTCCACTAAAAAGTTAGAATTCAAATCAAACTTAAAGCCACATACTATGCAGTTACAGTCACTTTATGAACGAATTATTAGGAGTTTGTTCACAATTACTTCATAAAATCATTACATGCAACCAATATGTCAGGTGAAAAACACTGTCACTTTCTAATGTAATTAATATTTTGTTTCTCTAAAAGCAAATGTAATCAACATAAAATCTTGTGCATTTTTAAAAAATAAGAATAAAAACAAATTTGGTTTGATTCATACCTAACAACTTTATAACTATAGGAAATATAACATACCAACCCTCAAACACCTTAGCTTCAGATTACATACGAAAGCATTGGTGATACTCTTAAACCTAAGATTTCAATGGTTTTTGAGAGAAGTTAAAAGAAGAATGTGAGAAGGAATAAGACTGGGTGAAATAAAAGGATTGGTTCCATTGTCTTTTTTGTTACTTTTTCTAACTTTTATAAATAATTCTATTTTAATTACTATTTCCTAAAGAGGGATTATTTGAAAGCAAATTTGGGGGGACTAAGAGGAGATAGAAATGTGAAATAGAGAAATAGGGAAAGATAATGATATACCTATAATATCAGCAGGACCCATTAACAATTTTATACTAAGTAAATGTTAATAGCCCATTCTCTGAAATAGAAGCAAACCATCATTCCACCTCATAAATTATTACAAACTGTACTAACACAGAATGTGATAATATGGAAAATATAACATGTTCCTCCTATGCCTATGCCTTTTACCCCATGATAGTTTATTTGAAAATATAGCTAAAGTTTCTGTGACTATAGGCAAATAATTGAAAATAACTGCCTTTCCATTTCAGAAATATATGAAGCTACTGAGTGATAAATTAATTGTCCCCTGCCCCCAAATATACAAATTTGTTTGGAGATGGATCTCTTGGTAGAGTGCTTGCCTAGCATGCATAAGGCCTAGGGTTTAATCCTCAGTACCATCCACAACATGCATTTCATAAATCAATTGTTTTCCTTGATGTTCGCCTAGGTTTTGATTCCAAGCAAATTATCTCTGTCTAATGCTATCTAAAGAAGACTTCTAAGTTTCTAATGTGCTTTTAATCAATTCTTGAAAGGTTTTGTGATAACCAATATACACCACTGCCACCAAGACCGATATTCTTCTCTGGCTCAAAATAATTAAATTATTAAATTGCTTAGGCACTATGGATTAAGTCAGCTCTAATCACTAAATGATCCAAAATGGTACCATCTAATAAGACTTGCCTAAATGGCAAGAGAACTTCTTTATAAGCTCTTAAATTTTTTTTTTTTTTGTACCAGGGATTGAACCCAGAGGTGCTTTACCACTAAGCTACATTCCCAGCACTTTTTATTTTGAGCCAGGGTCTTGCTAGGTTGCTTAGGGCCTTGATAAATTGCTGAGGCTAGCCTTGAACTTTCAATCCTCTTGCCTCAGCCTCCTGAGTCACTGGAATTACCGGTACATACTATCATGCCAGCTTCAAACTAAAATTCTGAAACATAGTCATTATTACTATGAAAGTAAAAACAGTCATTTTTCCATATTATATATTCCAAATCCTTAAAAGTTGGCACTGTCATTTATCTAATGTTCTTTTTAACATGGAGTATAAGCAGATCATATTATAGAGCATGCCAGATTGATTTATGTAGTCATTCATTCTTTTTTTTTTTTTTTTGGAGTGATCACTCTGCTATGTACCATGAATTACACTGGTGAATAAAACTGACAGGTCCCTTCTCCTCACTAAATTCGTGGAGGCTACAAATAATAAATTAAATAAAAATTTAAAAATTGAGTTAGGATTTTAAAAAAGCATTGAATAGGATACAATAGTGGTTAAAACCAATCAACCAAAAAATAACACTAATTGAGGAATAGGAAAGACCATTCTGTAGGAGCAACAACAAATTCATAGGAGCTAGCCTTTGAAAATATGTACCAGAGTGTTTATTTGTGAAAAAGTTTCAAAGCAGGGAAAAACTGGAAAATCCAAGAACAAAGCAGCTAGTATGGTTATGAAATAGCAATAACAGGGGCAATGCAGTATATGGATGAGAAATCTTATCATTCAGATAGCCTTGCACAAGGTTGAATTTTCTTTAGGAATAACAGGAAGTTAGGAGGTTGCAATAAACTCAATTACATTTTCAAAAGATCATCATGGCTGCTGGGAGGAAATATAGTAGGAGCAAGACAGTAAAAGAGAAATGGGAAACCAGTTAAGAAGCTACAGTAATAATCTAGGATAGAAGTGATTGCAACCTGGGAAGAGAGGGAACAAAAGAATCAGACAAGAAATATTTTTGTGGGTAGAAATGATACGCTTATTTAGAAATTTGATATTGGGAGAGAAGGAAGCTAACTCCCTAGTTTCTGACTTAAACAAAAGGGTAAACAGTAATAGTATGTTTCAGAGAGAGAGAAGTAGGGAAGGAACAGTCACAGAGAGAACAATCAACAGTTCTTGCTTGGATATTTAAAATTTAGAGATGTCTGTTGAAATATACAAGCAGACATGCATGCCAAGTTGGATGAACAAATTGGAGATAGGGAATAATTTAATACTAGCAATGTAGAAAAACTGAGCATATACAAAAACAGGTTGATCAGATTTTCAAAATTTGTTGTGCACACAATTCAAACCTGCTTAATGACATTGAAGATCTGAATCCCATTCCCAGAGATCCTGATTTCGTATGCCTGGAGAAAGGCAGAGGAATCTGTTGTTTTAAAAATAAGTCTATGGACCAGGGTTGTGGCTCAGTGGTAAAGCGCTTGCCTGGCATGTGTGAGGCACTAGGTTAGATCCTCAGCACCAAATAAATAAATACATAAATAGACAGATAGATAAAATGCTGTTCTTCTACAACTAAATAATATTTAAAAAAATATAAGTCTATGACAACTCTGATGATGCAGTTGACCCTCATAACTGCACTTTGAGGTGCATTTATCTAGTTAGAAACAGGAGGGAAAAAACACAACTGAGAATCAAGAAATGCAAACATTTAAATCTTGGCTAAAGGAAGAAGAGTCTGCAAGACAGTGAATAGTGCGAGGGGGAGAGAATGGATAGAAAAAAATAAAGTGGGGTACTCCAGAATTCAAGTAGAAGAAGGGAACAGTAAACTGCATTTATTAGCACTGAGAAAAAGTGAGGTAGACAGAGGAAAGTGAATATAATAAAGAATATAACAATTAATGTCAAGGGTCACCTTGATAGGAAGGGACAGAACAATCCAGAACACTTTATGCAGTAAATGGGAGATGATGACAATTCTTAAAATATTTTGGCTTTGAAGGGAAGTAAATAAAAGGTGTAGTAACTGGGGAAAAGTAGTAGGAATGTAAGAGGAAACTTAGAATTGTTTTACTTTATAGTCCATTTTGACCCAGCCCTGTGACCCCTTACCAAATTCACTACTGAATTCTATTATTTCACATAATAAAACTATTTTTTAAACACTATTTAATTTCAAACTTTAAATATTCCACCTATGATCAAATGATATTCCCTGAAACTAGAGCATCAAAATTTCAATGTTTTCTCTCTCCACAAAAAAGTTATAACTGCTTCATCCTCTAGCTCTTAATATTATTTACCCTTGCAAGATCCTCTATTTCAGAACTGAAGTTTGTTTCTCCTTCCATCATTTCTTCCTCTTCTAATGTTCGTTCATCATCAAAATCATGAACCAGCATGTCAGCTGATGGATCAAATTCATGGTCATCTGATGTTGCTGAACCTCCTGGTAAAGAATATTTTTTAAAATATGGTAAACCAAATTAGGTATATCTTATTAATTTAGTGTACATACATTATTGAAGCCACATATAAGTAAAAAAATTATCATAGAAAGTTATAACAGTAAATATTACTGCTTTTTAAAATTCCTGAACTTATTCATTATCACACACACACTCACACACACACACACCCAAAACTCTTCTAGGAGAGAGCTTTACTGTTGAGCTACATCCCCAGTCCTACATAAAACACTCTTCTAAGGGTTTAGAGTTTGACCTGTTTTTACTCCTATAGTTTCAGTTACAACTGCAAAATTGAGGGAGGGTAAATATTTATAGCTTTAAAAACTGTGCTATAATCTTCTGATTGTGAAGCTTAAGTTGTAAAGAATAAATTGATCATATCAATTAAAAATGACTTTGGGTGTAGGAAAACTCACAATCTTAACCATTTAAATACTGTTTGATAGACTCAATGAGCAATGAGTAAAGATCCCTCTGGCCCCTGAGAAGAATATATAGTAATGTGAAATAAACAGTCATTTGAATATACTTATCTGCTGCATGAAGACCTTTGGTCAATGACAGGCTGCATATACAATGGTGCCTATAGCATACAGTTTAGGTGTGTAGTAGACTATACCACCTAGGTTTATGTATACACACTCTTCAATGACACATTTACCTGGAATGTATCCCTATCATTGAATTACCTGGGATAATATAGTATAGTGAAAATACAGATGAACTCAAGTATTCTTCTATCAGCACTTCCTTGAGAACACATTCTAATATTTGAGTAGGTGACTTTAACTTTACTAAGTTGATTTTGTTCTGAAATTCCTCAAAGACAGAGATAAAAGCAAAATTTATTAAAATTGCATACAAAAACTCTCTTTGAAACCATTAAATATAGTCTAGGGTAACTATTATGGAAGCCTGTCCATTTTTATATTGGTGATTAGGGAATTTTGCTAGACTCAATAGGGTCAATCTTTGTAATGGTAGACTGTAAAGGCTGGGGATTATAGTTTCTATAAATTAATCGACAAATTTGACCATTGCCAAACCTGGACTTAAGTTTGAAAAAGCTTTACTTAACATCAATTTAAACTGTTCGAAGTTATATTAACAGATGTACTAATCCTTTTTCACTCTAATAAGAGAACTATTAAATAAAACAAAGAGACATACAGGTTGACTTTTGAAAGCCAGACTACTAGGGATAAGAAAATACCAAAAGCTCAGAGCTCTTCAGTCACCTTCCAAATTTTTAAAAAATAAGAACCATTTTTTTCTGCTTAGTATTGCCAGATAGTATGCTCAAGCACTTCACATACAGTACACCTCACTAATCTTCAAACAATTTTATCAAGTAGGTATTGTCACACCATTTAAAAGGAGGGAAAAAAAAAAAAAAAAAAAAGACTTTAGGTTTAGAGAGTTTAAGTAGCACCCCAGAACTCATAGAGACTGTAGGTGGCAAAAATGGAATCTGAATCCTGTGTCTAATTCCAATTCCTATGTTTTTACTGCACTCCATGCCTTATGTAAGTCCTTAAGTATCCTGCTTCAAAGAGTACTTAAGAACAGCCTATGTTTACTAAGATGAGTGAATCGTAAGCCAGGTCAGACAGCAAAGCACACTTTGAAGGCAGTGTGCTCAGAGGAGCATTTAAAAAAATGGTATTAAATATGAATTACTAAATATATAACTGTTAGCCAAATCATATATAAGATTATATTAAAATGAGTTATTAATGATTATCAGTTTTAGAATTACAAAAAACCTAGAAAAGCATACTATCTTAATTTCTACTGGAATTAAGAAAAACTTGGCATACATTTAGAAGGGCATCCTAACAGTGAGTGAGGGATTAGATACAACAGTTTCCATAGGAGCACAAGAATGATTAATTTAGATGTAAACTTTTGTCTTAATTGTTATCTCTTTTTTCCAAGTTTTCAAAGGAAACTTTCAGTTCACACAGGAATCTTCCGAGATACACAGCAGTCAATAATTAAGTCTTTCTACAGATGATGCTCTACTTTTCTTCTCCTTTGTAGGCAGAAACACCCTTAAAAAAAAAACAAACCTCATACCATTTCTTTGTACATTATCCTAATCATAACATAATTCTTAAATGCAGGTATTATCAAAAATAATCACACTAATTCCTAATTATTCGTTACTCTCTTACCAACTAAAAACTAACAAACCTCAAGCCATGAATACACAGTATCAAATCACAAGTACTATTTAACTTACCAGAAGTCCCTATTTTTTGTCATCATCTGTAAAGCCAAGTAAGACATTTCACTGCCTCACAACATTAAATAACAAAAGTGTAGGTGAATTTCTCCCGTTTCATTCCAAATTCTCGCCCACATACACACTGCACTTTTTTCTGTTAAAACTTTCAATTTCTGTTGTTTTTCTAGCCTTAATCTGACTGTTTTGTTTTACCTGACTTTTTTTTTTTTTTAATATTTATTTTTTAGTTATCGGCAGACACAACATCTTTGTTTGTATGTGGTGCTGAGGATTGAACCCGGGCCGCCCGCATGCCAGGCGAGCGCGCTACCACTTGAGCCACATCCCCAGCCCTTTACCTGACTTTTTACCTTGTTTTTTAGGTAACTAATCATCCTAACTAACTAATCATCCTATTCCTTTCTGTCAATTGCTAGGTCCATCATTAGGCTGTTTACAGGACCGGGGGTGAGGATCGGGGAGGATACCACATAATAAATTCTTAGGAGTAGGGAGTCTAGTGCGTTGTATACATAAAAATTTGCTTCAGTGTTAAGGTAAATATCACAGCTTTATCACAAAATGCCATCTTACTGCATAAAAGGTAGTTTATGCCTTTTCAAAGATTCTAATGGCTGCTAGTGTCATAGGTAAAGCTTTTCATTGTACCTCCACTTTGGTTTACAGGTTACATTGGCTGACGCCTTGAACAAACCACTTAGTATGGTCATGTGATTGTAATTATTAATATTGATTCCAAAGTACACATGCTATAAAGGGCACAGTCTTTTGCCATGGACCAATTTTTTTTTTTTTTTTTAACATGGGGCTTCTAATTCTTGATTTTCTCCATTAACTTTTGTTAATTCTCTACTAGCATTACTTACAACAAACATTATTTTTTGCAGAAGCCTGATATTAAAAAACATTGTCTAACTCTAAATATTTTCCTCAGTCTGAAAACAATCTAAAAAATAAAATAATCTACATGTATAAGTATTCAACAAGTAGCAAAGGTGATTAAAGATATTTGTGTTCTTTAATCTCCATTATTCTTTCTGTTCTGCCCAGGCTGATGCAAACTGAGTTTAGTTTTGGAGAAGTTATTTTTATATATTTATGCACTTGCTACTTAATGCCTCAAAACTGATAAAAAAAATCTAAACAGTCTAAATATTAATGAACACTAGAACCTATTTTTTGCAATGAAAATGATCAGTTTGAAAAAAAATCCTGGAAACAATTCTACTTTCTAAAAAAGATATGATGATATAATACTTATGTGAGGTCAGATTACTTCCAATTTCAACCCATCCAGAACATATCTATAAACCAGAAAGCTAAAAATATCCCTGAGTTTCAGAAACGTCACAAAGCATGTTAGAAAAAGTAAAATGCTTTCAGTTGAAATAAAGACAAAATCAACTGGAAACTGAGCACTCTAGTTATTTACAAGGGTTCCGGAAGTAATCTAGTCCAACCCTACCGTATATAATGATTTTTATTCATGAAAAGGACCCTGGACCATTATTTTAAGCATTTCTGAAAAAAAGCTTTCTTCCTAAAACTAAAGACACAGAAAGATGATTGCTACAATAATATGGAATAATGTGGAATGTATCTCATATCTAAATATTCAATATATGTGAGATGTGTTTTAAATAAAACATTACCAGGCCTCAGAAGGCTCCCTTTCACACTCTTCTATATAGGGATGCTCCTTAATCCAAATAACCCATGACTTGGTAAAGTCCCTGGACACTAAGGCAAAAAGACTAGTACCTGACTCTTTCCTTCCTGCTCCTGAACTTCAATATGAATGCTGTACCCAGAAGTACCAAAGATCCTGAGATCATAAGAACCCTAAATCTTAAATTTAGATTTTATATAAAATAGTCTAATTTCTAAACACCACTACAGTGACCAAACTAAAAAATCTGTGACCCTAATTGATCACAAGTTTACACCTTTAAGATAGGAATAAAAAAAACTGTATCTGAGGGAAAATAAAAAATTCTAGATGAAAGGTCAGAGAATAAAACTTGATCCTACTCAAATTTAAGAATTGCTTCCTTAACTTACAATACTATTCAATTCTTGAATCTTTTTTTACTTTATTTTCCTGCCCCAATAAATATATTAATAAGTTTTTTTCTCAAATGAAACATTCTGAATGTCCTACACAAATAAATGTCTAACCTAATTGATTCCCTTTCAAAGCATACACTTTGCATATGCTTCAATTCAAATAACAATTTGAAATCATAATAAATACATACAGCAATTCATCAATGAAAAAGAGGAATGGAGGGGGAGGGAGGAAGAGGACCCAAAAATAGTCATGAGGACAAACCCACGGCAGCCTCACCTGTACTTTCACGGGCAGTCAAACATTTCATCCATTTCTTTTTCCCCAGAGAAAAGAAGCATTCAGAAAAAAAGGAAGTCAGATGACAGTCTAACTCCTCTAGCCTTTATGCAACTAATAGGACAAATGTTAGGCAATTATAGATCATAAAAAATATAGAAAATACTTACCTGGACTTGAAGACTCAACAGATGGCTGAAGAGGGGGAGAAAAAAAGACAAATTAGCATTTTTGTATAGCACATCTTCCCAAACAATATAGGAAGCATCTGATGACAAACATCACACCAAAAACTATGGTAAGCTTTAATGTCTGAATTGTTTTAAAATAAACTAAAACCTTCAACATAACCCTTTACTTTCTATTATATTTAAGCATAGAGAAAAATTTAGAATACTACTCAATCTAGAAAAAAGATAATAATATGAAATTCATTCAGATTTTAAAAGCAAAAGTGGGCCTCATAACATGTGGATTAAGAGGCATGATTTTAGATCTTGGAATTTTCTGAAATACATTTTGTCTTTCCAATAAAGAAAAAACTATGCACAAAGTTTGCTATCAAACTGGTCTATGGCTTTAAAAAAATGAACTGTGCAAATGGAGGCAGAAACAACTTAAAGGCATCATTATAAATAAAAATTATGTTGTAAGAAAGAAAAAGGAAAGAATTAAAAATGTTATATGAAGTATAGACTAACTTTAACAAAAAATAATTATTTCTTAAAAGTTATCACAGAATTAGTAACCATTCAAACTAAAGACTAGAAAGGGTAGGTTATCTGAGGGGAGACTGCAAGATTTCCAATTATAACGTTTCCTCTACTGTACCATTCTCTCATAAATTTAACCACAAGCAACTGGAAAACATGAAGATGAAAATTTGTAGGAACTTATTTTAGTAATGTTACCACATGTCAGTAAGTATGTGGTTGTGTTTTACCTCAATTGTTAATTTACAACTATAAACAAGTTTTATCTACATATTCCTACAAGACAAATTCAGTAAAAGATGTTTAAATGACATAAATTTATAAATAAAACTTTGCCAATTCATTCAGAGGTACCTATTTCACGTCCATTAGAAGACAGACATGGAGGAAGGCCAAAAGCACTAGCAATAGAATGATAGGGATACTGCAGTATTCTTTGCTTCTGCTAAGTAATGGGACAGAGAGAGGCAAGAAGAAAAAGAAATTAGGAAAATGATGCTTAATTTTTCAAAAGCTAGGGTCAAAGACAAATTCCTATAAAATGTTTTAAGTTCCATTTTGAAAATTGTATACAGTGTACTATCTTAAGTATGGCATTCTAAATTTCATGGTGACTTGGGTTCTTGGGGCACACTTTTTCAATGGTCCTATTTTTTTCCCTATCAATTCTTGGAATGGTTCTTTCTTATAGCATTATCTAAGAAAAAATAACAATATCTAGTATTTTATTTCCAATGCCACAACACTACAATTATTTAAAAGTTACTCTGCTGGAACAGTCAATATAATGCTTTTTTCCTCCAATTAATTACTCCTGAGAGTGGGGGTGACATGAAGAGAGTAATGTAACCACAAAAAGGGTTTCTAGCTTGCTTAACATCTTTTGGGGCACAGCTACGACTTGAAATGGTTTTAACCATCACAATTATTACACAGCAAACTAATATTTTAAAATATTAATTCACTCATGTTTCATGCAGTTAAATTTTATTTTCCAAGTATAAACCCAATCTCCATACAAGGCTACAGCAACATTATTGACCACCTTCATCAGATCGTTCACTACCACAGGGAGTCTTACAATGTTGGTTTTCTTTTCTTTTTTAGTACTGGTATTGAACTCAGGGGTACTTAACCACTGAACCACATCCCAGACCATTTTTTTTGTATTTTATTTAGAGACAGGATCTCACTGAGTTGTGTAGGATCTGGCTAAGTTGCTAAGACTGGCTTTTGAACTTGTGATCCTCATGCTTCAGCCTCCCAGCCACTGGGATTATAAGGAGTGTACCATTACACCTGCAATGCTGGTTTTCTTTTTAGAACAAAATTTATATGACATAAACAAGAAAAATATGCATTACTTATGAATTAGAAACTTAAGAGAAATAGTTCTTAGGCAAATATTTAGTTTTAATTTACACTCCAATAATTATCTCATTTGACAGTCTTATGATAAAAAAGGCTTTCTGATTAAAAACAAATTACTAAAATTGAAGGGAATGTTTTTACTGACACTACCTAGAATAATTCTAGGGACGCTGAATTGCAAATGGTATCTACAAGAGGCCTCACCAACCCTAAACGATCATTATTTTATTGGTCAATAGTTACCACTTTAAAGTTCTGAAAAGGTTCCAAATATTTTCCATTTTTTTCAGATACCAAATATTTAGAGAACTGGTAGCATTTATAAGTATAGCCCACATAGAGCAAAGCACACAAAGTTCAAAGATTACATCAATGATCACATTACGTCAGAGGTACTGCAATATGTCAAGCATTGATTAGCACGGAAGAGCAAAAGGCAGAATGGTTTGCCCATATTTAGTATCCATATACATTTTAGTATTTTACATTCAAAATAAAATTTTATTGTGTCAGTTTAGGAGACAGGAATGAGATTAGTTTCTTGCAAGTTAACTATATCCAATTAAATAAAAAATGAGCTTCTAAAACTAGCATCTGAAAACAGTTCATACTGTGAACATTACATTGTTCAACTGACAAAATGATTATCTTTCAAGATAAAATGTGAGCTTATATAATAATATGGGAAGTTTCAGGGTGGAATGAGGGCAATTTTTATTTAGCTATGAAAAAATATAGAACTAATTTATATTTACATAATGCTACATATTTTCAAAGGCATAGTTTCTTGATCATAACCGTAAATCTAACATTACCTTATTTTATAGATTAGTAAACCCAGGGATATAAAATGAGATAAAGGTTCCACTGTGGTAATGAAGTCAGACATGAAGCCTACAACCTCTGACACCTCAGAGTTCTTTTTATACCTTCCAGAGAAAGAACCCCATAATTTTTTGCTAACTTTTTTCTCTTTCCCCTTACTTTCTATTTCCTTCTAAAATGGTTTTTATCAGTTCAAAGCACGTTTAAAATGTGAACAGAGTTGACATCTGTCTTACCAGACTGTAACCTATGTCTTTTTAGGAAGTGATATCTCTATCTAACAATACCCTCCAAGAAAACTTGCACCATTTACAATTACTACAGCAAATTAGAAAGGGGTAAGAGAGGGGGAAAATTAAAACAAACAAAAAATTAAACGTAAACAAGTGCTTATAGAAACACTTGGTTTCAGAAAAAGATCAAAATATGAGTGTAAGCTGGAAAATTTTTAAATTGTGGTTTAAGAATATTTAAAATGCACTTAGACCTTACTGGTAGAAAGGAGTTAGCTCAACAATTTTTGACATCATTTTGCCAACATGAACTTCCCCTTGTGATATACCTAAAACAGTACACTCAGATATATGTATACCATTCATTACCACAATGTTGTTCTAAGCAAAAAGTTGGGGGAAAACCAAAATCCATTTTAACTTTTTAACTAGTTCAAAATAATATATAGCTCCTTCAAACAATGGGACACCATGAATTCATTAAAAAGGATGAGACAGATATGTTTGTGTTGAAAGAGAAAAAAATGCTAAGAAAATTAAGATTTAAAAAATGTAGAATGTGCAACAAACTGGACTAGAATATGCATAATTTTTTTTTCCTCAAAAAGATACATAAGAATTTGTTCATAATAGCTTTTTCTAGGGGATGAATTAGGGAGAAGAGGCTTTTTTCAGTTTACATTTTTCTGTTCTCTTGGAATTTTCCAATCTCTTTTGTTGAATTATAAACCATTTTCATTTTCTTCTCTTTTCAATTTTTACGAAAACCTAGTACTTGGTACTATTTTTTCAAAGTTATAATTTTGAAAATTTTTTGGTGCATATATACTTGTTTTATCAGAGATGGGAAACAACACTGGAAAGACAAACCTAAAAGTAATTAGTATGCTAACTCAAATGAAAAAAGTGCTATATTAACTTTTGTATAGCATGTTATCCTTGCCAGTATATTTAAGATTTAGTTGATAAAGTTACTAACAGTTATAACAAATACTCAATGCCTCCTAATTATTCAAATATTTCTTTTCACTTTTCTAGAACATGGTAGAAAATGATGGGAAGTGTTTCATGCAACAGAAAACTGTAATCTGGAGATAAAAGATTGATTCTAGAAAAAGGCTAGACTATTAACATTTTTACAAAAAAAAAAATTAAGGTAGTATAGTCAGGAAGTATTCCTAGGCTCTTTTATTTCAGACAATCAAAAGCTTATTTTCCATGCAAATAAGTGAACAAAACTTCCCCCCCTCAAACCAATTCCATCACCATTTCTTTAAGTGTAGCCAACATCTCCTTAAGTTATAGAGGCTAAATCAGATTCTTAAAGCAACTAAGGACAGAGGTCAGGAAGGAGTTTGGGACCCTATTCTTGGATAAAAGTTGCAGGGATACTATGCCCAGGGCTTAGTACCCTCTCCTGCCATACAAAATTATGTCCCATACTTTGCTGTTACTTTCAGAAATGCTAGGGTATAAAACAGTTAAGTATGTTTTGGAATTAAAATTAATAAATTTACAACAATAAGAATAATTTAGAGGGTAGAATGATATTATGGAAAATAAGCATTAGGAATGCAGAAGGCTGTGTTCTACTCTTAACTGTGCCAGACTAACTGTATGACTTAGGAAAAACTGCATAAACTCTGCTCAAGTTCCACTTTCTCTATGATGAAAAATTTAGATCATTTCAATTTTTAAGACCCAAGTTTCTTACTTTTATTATGAATTGTTTGAAATCTGTAATACTACTAAAGAGTATTTAGCTAAATGAATGAACATATTTTCTCTTCTGAATAATTTTTTTTTGAATCTAGAAATATAAGGAAAAGACAACCTCAATTTGCAAAAAGTTATTTTAGGGTGCTACTTCACAAATTGCTTATCTACAAAATATAACAGTCATACTTCTAAGCCATAAAATAAGCTCAACAGAATAGACCCCCAGCAGTGAACAGGTTTAATAAACGTTGAAACCATTTGCAAATCTTTTGATCTGAACATCAATCAAGAAATTTCTATGAAGCTGTTTACTATTCATATTATATGTAAGGGGGTGGGATTCAGTGCCCTTAAGATTCAATAGAAGTGTTTATTTCTAAATTATTTGAGAAACTGATTAGTCTCTCCAGAATTATCTTAAAATAATTCACTACTACTTCTTTTTATTTCATTCATTTATTTATATGCAGTGCTAAGAATCCAGTGCCTCCTCACACATGTGAGGCAAGCACTCTATCACTGAGCCACAACCCCAGTTCCAGTGATTCACCTCTTTATTTGTCCCACCAAACCTTTAAGTTTTCAGGTATTTCAACTCTCATACTTCCACTGAACTAAGCTTTTTAGAACTCTGATGCATTGGTGCTCATGCCTACTTTGGATAAAACCTTAATTTTTTTTGAAGTCTAAACTAAAAATAAATAAATAAATAAATACCAGAATATAGAATTATTTAAGGTTTAAATCCATTGCAGTGGAACAAGTTTTGCTTACAGTAGAAATTAACACACTGACATGATCCTATTTCCTTAAAGCACAAAATCCAAGTACTCTTAAAAAAAGTACTAAGGAGTATTTTTAAAAGAAATAAATAGTGAGTGAATAGTTCATGTACCATCTTTAAAAATATTAAAATACTTAGCAGTATTAAATTCATTAATTTTTTCATTTTATTATAGAAATGTGACATAGAATAAAAGAAGAAAAAATTAAAAAGAACAGGTCTTGCACTGTGCTGAAGCTTTTTTTTCCTTGAGAAGAAAGTCCCTTACATGTTTATAAACTTTGAAAAATAAATGACAAATTGTTCATTCCCAAGGTCCCTATAACACATTCCTTATAAAACCCTAAGGATCAACTATTTCTTCCTCTTTTTTTTTTCTCTCTCTCAGTGCCTTCATAAAACTGTAACTACCCTTTAATTTCCTTTAAGTGTGACAAGGAGAGCCTCCTTTTAAAAGGATGGTAAATAATTTTAAGGAATAAGCAAAGTGAAATTTACCAAAAAGTGCTAAGAAAGGGAGCATTTACCATTTTTCTGAGTATATTAAGTGTTTTTAATACTAATACAATTTAAACCATTAAATACATACTTCCTATTATGGATTCAATTAGGATGATTAGATCAAAATTATGAATAATTAGCATATTTAGTACATCTAAAATAATTTGAATTCAAGAATTAAAATATTTTCTTAAAAAGTCAGGGTCATTCTCTTATGTAGGAAACAACAACAAAAAGAAAACCCAGAGCATAAAACCTACATTTTTCTCTGGAGACATGTTTCTTCAATAACTGTTTTCCCCCCAAAGATTTAACTGCTTACTGCTGCTCTGCACTGTTATTTCGTAAGTTAACATCAATACTCAGGTCTACTTAATCAAAAGCACAACAGTTCAGCATATGAATTATTTTACCACATGTATCATAAAGAATAAATCTGAAAGCTCACACAAAAAGTAAAAGGATGCTATAAACAAAGCATTTCTCATTCATTTAATCTTTTGAAACCAACAGTCTTTAAAAAAATCATCACAATTACTGAAGTTTGAGGGTTTTGTTTTTGTTTGTTTATGGCAGTGCTGGTGATAGAACCTATGGTCTTCCATGCTATTCTAGCTCTCTACCACTGAGCTACATCCCCAGCTCAATTACTGAAGTATTGAGACCAAAAAATTTAAATTATTTTTACTTTTTACCTCTTCATCTATTTTAGATTGTTTAATAGGACACACCAAGGTTCTTCTACTTTTCCTTTAAAGTCACAATAAATAAAACCATCTACAAGTAACTGAAGAATATAAAAAATGATTTAAAGATTCCAAGTCATTAAATAAATACACTGAAAATAAAATCAATTTTTTTCTTCTTGAAATTGAACCATCCATGTGTTCCTGAAAACATGAGAGTTCCATTCTCCAAACAATGAAATATTTAAGAAAAATATACACTTTGTAATAAAAAGCATATACTAGAAAATATTAGAAAATGATAGGTGACTCCAAATACTGTTTCTCCCCTCTTACATTAATGAAACCATCTTTAATTTCTGAAACAAGATGTTAATAAACATGTTTTTAGTACACCGGGCAGTAAAATTTCTAGATGACTTTTTTTTTTTTTAAATCAAATTTCAATGTATTTTCATATAAAGTTATTTTTCTTCCTTAGTAACCTATCTTGGATTATGATCACACAACTTAAAGCTCAAACCATTGAGGACCACAAGGGAAGAAACACTACCTCCTTAACACAATTCTACTTATCTAATGAAAACCCACTGAAAGGAGGTCCATTGCTACATTACTACTCCTTCTCTATGTATCAAGCAAAATACACAATACCATCGATCCTCACTGCTTTCTAAAATGTAGGTAATAACCATCAGACTACTAGATTAAATCCAGTCACATTTAAGTGAAACAGAAAAGAATATGCTTTCCAACTCTTGTGCTCTGAAACGCAATTTTTTTTAACCATAAAAAGCCAAAGAAATGAAAATATAATATCTAAATTTAGATATACATCAGAAATATTGTTTTTTAAAAGACTACTAGCGGCACAAAGTCATGGTACAATAAAACCTCTTCCTCCTTTAACAGCAAATACTCCCGCACATAGATATAAATCTAGTTTCCATAAGACAAGTAGAAATAACATCCTAAGAGCTTCCAGAAAACAAACCTTTAGGTACCTAAAAAAAGCTACACAATCTAACCATTTTTCTGTATTCCAAGGTCTAAAAAGGGTATTATGGTATTGAGAAAAATACGACTGATTTTAGTTAGCAAATAAAGGAGTTAAAAATTGGGGGCTAAAGAACAAATAAAATTACCTACTTCCTGAATCTATTTTTAGGTGTCTCTAAAAATGAATATGGTAATTCTAACAAGAGTAATGCCATATTAACCAAATGTTGAGTGGCTTTTCAAGGAGACACACAAGTCCAAATACACGACTGCAAACTCAGGGATAAAGAATAACGAAATTCTCACATGGGTGGGAAAAAAAAAAAGTAAACAAAACAAATAAATCACAAAACTTCCTACGTTTAAAACCTTAAACGAGAGACAAAATTTGGATTTTTAATAGCATATACGAAGTTCCAATTAATTATAAACCAACAAGTGGTTGTTTGTCATCAATTTCGTGTTCCAAATATGCAAACCAATCTAACATAGCAGAAAGGGGCTTTGGAAACTTGTTTACTAGAAAATGAGCAAAGACAAGTAAGGGGGGGGGGGGGGATTTCTTAAGAAAACAAAAATCAGAAGGAAAATAAGTAGCTTTGATTTGGATTGGGGGGGGCTGCTAAACGGTGAAGGGGGTTAAGTTGAAGGGTAGAAAAGCAACTCCAGAGGTTCTACCTGGCGGCGGCGGTGTGTAAGTTGAAAGGCGGGGGAGGGAGTTGTTAACTCTTCGGAGAAATGGGGAGATTCCCCTAGTTTGAAAGGCGGAATTGGGAACGTGATTTTCTCCACGCTCATTTTATCTTTACTAGGAGAATTAAAGGCCGTTCAGCCTTATGTTTTCTCCACCAACAGCGACTGGATGTCAGTAGCAAACGGGTGGGGGTGACGCGGAAGGGCGCAACAGCATCTCGGTTAGGGAGGGAAGAAACTTCGCAAGAGGAAGCAGCGGCTCCTCTCCTGGCCCTGGCACCGGCCGGCGAAGTTGCGCCACAGGCAACCCTTCCCAGACCAGCGCCCCCTCCCCCTCGCCCTGCACTACTGCGTAGCATCCAGCCCTTCAAACTGGCCCCGAAGTCCAACTACGTCTCCGCTTTCTCCTATCCCCGGACCCATCCCAACTAAGTTCCAGGGAAAGCTCCCGCCCAGAGCGCGGCCTGTTCCGGACAACAGGTGGGCAGTGGCGCCAGCAGGGCTGGGCCTCTCCTGGCCAGGCCCACTCCACTCCTCCCCGGCCAGGGCCCGGGGGCGCCCGGCTCCGGGACAGGGAGGGGGAGCTCGCTCCCTTACCTCCGCCATATTTGCCGTACTGCCGGGTCACATCTCCGCGGCGGCCGCGGCTGGGTCACGGCCAGAACCCGGATGTGAGACTCGGAAACGGGACTCGGGCCGCCGCCGCCGCCTCTGCCGCTCCCGCCGCCGCTGCCTCAGCGGGAACGCGCAGGAGCCGCCCGAGCGCGCCCACCACACCCCACTCCGCCCCCTCGCGGCGCCCCGGCTGGGCTGGACTGGAGGGAAAAGGCCAGCTAGCACGCGCGGAGCACGGACGCGAGAACGCGCGCGCGGCCCCGAGGCCAGCCCTCCTGGTAGAGCGCGGACGGGGCGGGGCCAAGGTGGGTGTGGGGAAGTTGGGCATCTCCGCGCCAGGCGCCCGCCCCAAAGGACCTGCGACCGGAGCCCGCGCATCTCGGGCAGAGAGGGCGCGAGAAGGTACCAGAGGCCCGACCAGCATTTACATAGCAGTGGAAAATACGTTCTATTTTACAAGTCGAGATCATTTTTGAATGCTGGAGAACGGATGTTGCTGGGATGCAACAGCGGCACGAACTGTAAAGCGGTTATCCCTTTACAAATATTTCTCGGTGATTCCTGACAGGAAATGTAACATCCCACATCCAAAATCTTTTTTTTTTTTTTTTTGGTACCGGGGATTGAATAATTCAGGGGCACTGGACCACTGAGCCACATCCCCAGACCTATTCTGTATTTTATTTAGAGACAGGGTCTCACTGAGTTGCTTAGCGCCTCGCTTTTGCTGAGGCCGGCTTTGAACTTGAGATCCTGACTCAATTTAGAAGGGGCAGAGCAAAGATTAAGAAAAGGGATTGTTAGGTAGTCTGCCATCCTCAAATTTCATTTGTTTTTCCTCACACACTGTATGACGCCAGTAGCAACATACAGCAATGGTTGAATTTTTGCACAACTAAACAAAAATTTTAAATGTAAAATAATGAGAAGTCGTTCTTTGATTGACATAAATAATCTACTTGACTGCATGGAAGAACCTACTTGTTTGCAATGCCTGCGATTTGAAAGTTTTAATGTATTGGCCTAGAGCTGCCAGTTGGCCTTGATACCAATACTGATGACTGCCAGAGCCAATGATTTCAAAGTAACAAACTTGTTTCACTTCCATTACTAAAGTAGATACTAGCCAATACCAAGGCACTATTAAAGTGGACACTAATACTTTACTAAACCAGGAGTTTAAAAAGACTTATTCAACAGACACTTTTTTGTCCACCCCCCATCTTTAAGGATTCTTAATGCAGTTTCAACAAAAGTTGGTACCAAAAATCAAATAATTAAATGAAAATTATTCATTCCTTCTAAATAATGTGAGACTATAATATATTGCATAAATGTGTACATACACAATTTTTTTAAACGTTTACAATGCAATATGGGGGACACTGCTTTTAAAATTACTTGTATTCCCTTAAAATTCTAGGCTCTATCAAGCATTTTCCTAAATATTTCCAAAGACAATATTAACTTGAAACTCTTATGTCCAATAATTTGTGCATGAATAAACTGCATTTACAGGTATATGAAGTAGCTGCTAAGTGAAAGGACATTACCTGGTAATTTGACAGGAAAAGAGTCCACAGACAGTCTGTAAACCAATTAAACATAAACATCTGATGCACATTTTCTACTGAAAGAAAAGCAAGGGAAAGAAGAGAAAGGAAAACTTTAAAGTTCCCAAGTCTACAAACAATTTTTACCATTAACTGTACTGTACAGTATTTCCATTTATCTTTAAGAAAATATATAAAAATGTTTTTTTGAGGATTCTTTTGAGAGAATAAATATTTTAGCACAGATATATAGTTTCTATGAGTTACCCTGTTGAATATTTTTATTTTGGTCTGAAAGTAAAATGACTTTTTAGAAATGTCAGTTAATAAACCGTTTTCTTGATACACTTGATGAAAAAAGCTAAAGGCATAAAACAATGTATGTGCCTGGCCCTGAGGTGGGTACAAATAAAAACAACAAAAGGCCTAGAGGTAGAAGAAACTTAGGTTTTATATACCAGAAAGTTTAGGGAAAGCTTTCCTTTAAAACATGAAAGTTAATATATGAAATTGAGCTGGCTATCAAGGGAAAGACTAAAGCATTGTTAAAATACAAGGCACAGAAATAACTTGCTTGCTTTAGTCCATTAATTCTTTGATTCTTCAGTTCAACCATATAGAAAAATCCCAATTGGAATAAAGAACAAGGGATCAGGTCCCGTTAAGGACTGAAATGAATATTGGAAGTTAGGAAATTGGGTCTAAGACATTTTTAAATGGATATTTATCTTGCTATTAAACAACTTTTAAGTTTAATATTTCTTTATCAATGCTATTAACTTTAAATGACATTGTTATTTAGGAAAAAAAATTCCCCTCCACATTTTTTTTCCTATAAATGTGGGTTTAGTCAATCTAAAGGAAGGAGAAAAAGTTCTAGTACTCTTAAGTTATAGGTAACACATCACTATGGAATTCAGTTACTTTCACTCATTTTATTCTTTACAGAGCTTCTTTAAGGAAAAAAAGTCTTTCTCAAAACTCTTGCTAACTCTTCAGTATAAAATACGTAAGAACTAACTGTTCACTGTTCAATCTTAGTGTTGGATGGGACTTTATAGGTTTTTAGTCAATTTCTCTATACTTTGGCATAGGAATTCCTCAGAATGCTTCTACTACCAGGCTTTTCTGCTTATGTTTAAACACCTCCTGTGAGTCATCATATCTCATAAAGTGACTGCTGTTTTCAAAAAAAGCTCAAATTTTGAAACATTCTTCTGTTTATTAAGCCAGAATCTGACTTAGTCATTTTCATCTATTACCCTTTGTATTAATTCAACAGATATCTTTTTTGTATTCAAATGCCAACAGTCATTGACTTAGTTTAACAAAACTATATCTTTAAATCCTATTGCTATTAAGAGAGCTACAAACAGGACATAATAAAGCTAAAAGCGTGAGAAAAATCATTGTTAACTATGACTTGTTCAAAATTATTGTACTGTATATTATTAATTCCAGACAAAATGGCAGCTCTGTTAGAACTGTACAAGTCAAAAAATTGTGACTAATTCCAAATTTATGTATTATGCTTTATATCCCCAAACAAAAAAATCCCTACAGAAAATCTAAATAAATGCCTCTTTTGCTCTTACTCTCTCCTTGTTTTTAAGCAAACTAATACTAATTTTCTACTACATTAAACTACTCACAACTATTATTATGTTGGGAAATATTTTTGAGCAACTTACTGAATCCTCCATTCAAAAGTTATTCAACAATTTCAGAAGCTATAAAATGCATACATACGCCCAAACACACATGAACCCCTTAAAGATATTATGTTGCTACTGACAGATGCATTTAGGATCACAAATTTACCTCAACCTTAAACTAACCCATAAAAAAACTCATCTGACAATTTTATGCCTAAGAAATATAACCTTTTATTCAGGACCAACTCCTGATTCAAATACAAGAAATGTATACACCTATACTATGGAAACAGGTTCATGCAAGTCAAAAAGGAATCTCTCAAAATGCACCAAGGAAAGACTAGTAACAATTTTAATTCCGGGGCTGATATACTGAAATAGGTGAACACAACACATCGAAAATCCTAAAAACGAATTCTGTATCTAATAATTTTCAGGGTCCAAGTCCTTTTGAGATTGTTTTGTAAACTATTAAAACTCGTTTTCTTAAATAACATTTTAGATTTACCTTCACATTAGTAGGCATAATGCAGGTTGCAAAAGCAGTAATGTATTACATTTGGAAGCCCATATCTATGCAACAAAAACATCATACTTTTGTTAGTTTTTTTATTATTAACACCCCAAACACTTATTTAGCCTTTGGTTCTTCAGAGAACAGTTCTGGTTTTCTTTTCATAATTCTTATCTAGTGGCTTTATCCAGTGGCCCTATTTCATCAGTATATTACAAACTAATATGTTAAGATTTTATACATCGCTGATGTTAAGTATCTCATCCAAATTGTGGAAATTATTGGCCTGTTAGTAGTTCTCAAACACTGGAACATACAGAAAAGTAACGTAATATTTATATTATTTGAGGGAGTTTGGATTTTCCCTCCCTTCATCTCCAAGTGTGCCCTTGCCTACCAGCATCACATCCGTCTTGTCTGCATTGAACCTCAACCAGTTGGTTCTTAACCACGTCCGAAACTCAGCCAGGCACTGGGAGAACCGAGCCACCACACCATCTGGATTAAAGGAAAGAGAGCCTCAGTAGCAAAGAGTCAGAAAACAATTTTTATCCCAAGATCACCATTCTGTCTCAAATTTTTAAAAACATTACTGGGAACTAGGTCAAGTATCCCAGTACAATTTTGGGAAAAAAAAATAATGCAATTTGTAACCAACAGTAAAGGAATAAAAGCAACCCAATAAATAGGTCGCCGTATTTCACCCACGAGTTAAGAAAGAAGGTTCGGTCAACTCGGGGTCGTGTGTGCTAAGCGGCCTTAGACTGGCCATAAAATTGCGTTAAGTTTTCCTGCAAAATTACAGTTTTAGCGTTGTGGGGAGGAACGCTAAATGGGGAAAATTGAAGCCCAGAGAAGGATAGCGACTCGCCCAAGGTCACAGAGCATGCAAGGACCAGAGATGCGCTCCAGGCCAGGGACCTCTCCGTTATAAGCTGAAACATCACCAAAGGAGGCAAGCACGCCTAGCTCCCTTACGGCAATGCCATCTTTGCAGTCTCTTCCCTCCTCTGCTCTCTTAGAAAGGGCAGGTTGGCCCAGGACCCCGCTACCACAAGGGCTGCAGTGTTTCGGAGGGAGCCTCCCAGGGCCGGACACATTTGGGGAAACACAGGGGAAAGGGGTGGAGCCACAGGGGAGTGGTCATTTGACCCCACCCCGACCAGGATCGAGGACCGACTGGTAAAAGGGGCTGGAGCAACCGGGGCGAGGCGAACTCACTCCGCAGCGGATTCCCAGCGCGCCGTGGACGCCAGGGAGACCCGCGCTGCCGCCACCGCGAAGCAGAAAGATCGGGCGCGGAGGGGGTGGGCGGAGGCAGGGAGTTGCGCATGCGCCTCCGGTGGCCGGCGGCTCCGCTCGGCCCGCGACCAGGCGCGTTCTCTGGCAGCCCCTCCCCGGAAGTTAAGAGTCTTCCGGGCGGTACTCTGCAGTGGGGGAGGGGAGGGAGAGAAAGGGGACTGAGGACACCTCAGGAGCCCCTCATCCCTAGAGGAGTGAGAGGGGAGAGATGGTGTATAGAGGCTGCACTTACAGCCGCTGCCGCTGCCGCCGCCGCCACCTTCGCTGCTGCCACCACCGCCTGAAGAAGCCCCATCCATCCGCCTGCAGCCGGGAGACTCAGAGCCTGGGAGGGGCCTGGGGCCCGGGCCGCCCGCCTCCTCCTTCCAGTCGTCGTCCGGAGCTTCCTCCTGCTCCACCAACCCTCTGCCCTCCCCTCCGCCTCCGCCCTCCTCCTCGGCCTCGAGCCGCCAGCCAACCGCGCGGCCGCTTGTTGAGCCAGGGCTCCACCGTCTCCATGGCGCCCGGCAAACATTTCTGAGCTTCGGCGCTACCCGCTAACGCCCGGGGTTGGGGAACAGGGGCTCCAGAAGCAGCCTGGAAAGGGGTGGTCGACAACTCCCAAGCCCGTCGCCACCATGCCCGTTTCTCCGACAAACAGCCGCAAGCAGCCAAACCTCTCGCCGTAAGTTCCGGCGCGAAAACCCGTAGTCAATTCCCGTGGGCAGCCGAGGGAGCCCTTCTAGATACTCTCCCTAGATTTGGAAAGGGGTCATTTTACTGCATCTGGGTATGGTCAACAGCCTGAATCTCCCAGGCGGCAGTGGTTCCTTCTCTCGCTTGGAGCAGCCTTTTAAAAATCAATAGTGCTCTGCTTGCTCTGAGAAGACCTGGTTTTGTTTAGGACCACTTGTCCTCCTAGTACTTAGAGTTTGGGGGCGCCCCCCCCCCCCATCTACATTCTAGTTTGATGCTTCTATGCTGTGCTCACATGGTCAGGTTCATCAGCTTCTGGAACCCCAGATCAAACATCGTTATGCTTGATACTAGATGATTTTGTTTTTTAACCACCCTGCCTTAAAATTCTGCTGACTTATCTCGCTTGTAACTTGAAACGGTTCCTTTGGGCTGCTCACTAAATTCCACTGAAGTTCCCCAGTTTATTTATCTCTCTGGCACTTCCAGATCACTTTTGTTCTCTCTTCACAAACCTTCAACATCCCTTTCTCTAATCTTCTTCAGCGCAATTGATCTTTTTGTCATCACAACTTGTTGAAAGTTCTTGGAAGAGAACCTTCTGTTCACCTTTGAATATGGTACTCTGGCTTTTGTCCATCCTACCACTTCACCAAAAAAGGCCTTTTTGTGAAAGTCAACAATAGCCATCCAGCCAAACACAGTAGCCAGTTTACACTTTTGTTCTTAACTGACCCATTAGCAGCTCTGATCTAATTGATCACTTCTTGAGTTTTGAAATACTTCATTTTGTTTTTGCTCTTCCCTAGATGTTCCCCTGGTTCATGGCTACTTCTTGTAAAATACTTAACTGGGATCTGCTCACCTGTCCCATAACTGAACATCAAGAGTGTTGCTGGGTCATTCCTTAACCTGTTCTCTTCACTACTGCCTTATGCCTTTTAAAATCACTGATAAGGGTAATTCACAAGTTTTAGCTCTATCCAAGACCTCCCAAGAAAAAGGAAACATCTGCACTTAGAAATTATAAGACACCTCAAAATTTATATTCAAAACCAAAATCCTTCTTTTGCAAGTCTTTCCCATTTTAGTAAATGGTGAATTCCACTTGGCAGTTTCTGAGGTGAAAAACTCTGGAGTACCTTGGACTTCTCTCTTATACCCCAATAAATCAATGATTTTTACCTGCAAAATACGTTGAGACTAGCAGTATCATATAACTCATTGTCACATTATGGTGCCTAATCTTTTTCCCAGCACCCTCCATAAAGTTTTTATTGTGATTTGTCTGCTAAAAACCTTCCTCAAGTTTTTTCATATTTTACTAGAGTAAATGCTCACATTCTTACAGGGTGTTACTTGGGTATTTTACTCTCAGCATGCTTTGTTACACAACACATCAGGCACGTTATTCGTATTTGTGCTTGTCTACATTTACCATTCTTTGGAATATTGTGCTCCAAGATAATCTCTTTAACTCATTTTTTTCCAGATATCACCATCCATAAAATAATACATCCAGCATTTTGATCCCTCACCCTTTATTTTTTCCATAAAATTTATCCCTGTAGTTATATACCTGCTTATTAATTTGCCTTCACAAGTAATGAAACTCAATGAGGACAGATTTTTGTTTTGTTCCCTGGTGTGTCTTTTAGCCTAAAGAACATGCTTCGTAAATATTTATTGATTAAACAAAGGAATGTGTAAAGATGTACTTAAGTAATTGGTTACTGTTCATTTTGCTGGTTTTTGTTTCCACCTTTAGGTTTGAAAATCTCAAAGTGAATTTAGGGGAATTAAAAGTCATACAGCTCTCTAGTGGCTGAGAGTGTTAGGAAAATTCCCTTGGGAATTTCTTAAATAATGACAAATTAATAATAAATTAATTATTAAAGAAAGGATGGGATGGAATGGGAAGCAGTGTAATCTTTTTGAGGTAGCCGTATTGCCATATTGTATAATTAAAAAAAAAAAAAAAGCTTCAAAGACACTAAAGTTTGAAACCTGTTGGCTTGACCTGATGTATTATTTCTCCTCTTCCTCCTTTTAGGATTTAATCCTGAACTTGTAAAGAATCTCTCAAAGCATTTATCAATTTTCCACTTTCTCAATTCAGTTTCTCCTGAATTAGATCCTTCCCATTGGCTTAATAATATTGGACAAATCTCTCATTGTGGAAAAAATAACCACTGGCTCTTTCTTTAACACCTTTATTTCATTTCTATGCCTATTAGATATGAGAAGTGACTAACCCCAAGATAGTGTGACCCTGGAAAAAGGAGTGAAAAAGAAAGCCATACACTGATAGCATTGATCCTTTCACAATACATTCTTTCCCAGTGACAAAACAAGCCCTGGGAGAAGGTGTCCATCAAACCTGGAATGACAGCTCCTGAGAAGAGACTTAAATATTGATCTCTCCCAAAATAATTCCTTTCTAGATGCTGGCCGCTGACCCTCCAACCCTCCATCGTGCCCAGTAAAAACAAATCCCAGATGCTGACCGCTTACCCCAGACCCTACTTTGCCCAGTAAAAACAACAACAAAAAATCAAATTCCTGAGTACCCAAACTGACATGTTTATTAATTAAGTCACCTCTCAGTATAACCTATATACTGGAGCTCAGATTCCTCCTTTGGCCAGTGGCTTATTTTCCATCAGGAAAGTGGGTCCATCAGTAGCGTCATTCTGTGTTCCTGAATAAAGGCTTTTGATGATCTGTGAAGTTTGCACCTGGCCTGCTCCTTTTGTGCTAACACTGCCTAGTTCCTTTATTCTGATTCCCTATATGTTCATATTTCCTTTCAATTCTCTATTAGTATTTTCATCTGTTTGCATTGCCCATTTGTCTTGGATATTATTCACTTGTTAGATTAGATCCCTTACCATATTCTGGAAAGTTATTTTAAATCTGGTTGAACCGTTCTAATATTTCTGCTGTATCTGAGTCTGGTTCTAATGCTTATTTTGTCTCTTCACACCATTTTTTTTTTCTTTTGATATGCCTTACAATTTTTTGTTGAAAATAGAACATATTGTATGGTGTAACATGAACTGAGATAAATAGGCCTTCAGTGTGAGTTTTTATTTTTGTGTGGCTATGACTTTATATTTACTGTTTGTGGAAAGCTTTAGTTTCTTCTAGTGTTCTTGGTTTTATCTCTTCTGTTTGTTTAAGTTTCCTTAGAGCCTCCTTCCTTTTAAGATTATACATAACAGTCGAGTGTATTTTGACATACATACATGGAGTATGCTTTACATTCTTTTGATTATACACGATGTGGAGTTAAACTGTTCATGTATATATATGAACGTGGAAAAGTTATGTCTGATTCATTCTACTGTCTTTTTTTATTCCCATCCTCCCTCCCTCCCTTCCCTCATTCACCTTTATCTGAACCAGTAAACTTCTGTTCTTCTCTCCCTTGCCTCCATGTTGTGTATTAGTATCTGCATATCAGAGAGAACATTTGACCTTTGGTTTTTGGGGATTGGCTTATTTCACTTAACGTGACAGTCTCTAGTTCCATCCATTTATTAGCAAATCCCGTAATTTCATTCTTCTTTATGTCTGAGTAATAATATTCCATTGTGAATGTATACCACATTTTCTTTATCCATTCATCTGTTGAAGGGCACCCAATTGGTTCCAGAGCTTAGCTATTATGAAGTATGCTGCTATAAACATTCATGTGGGTTCATCACTGTTGTATGCTGATTTAAAGTCCTTTGGGTGTATGCCAAGGAGTGGGATAGTTGAGTCAAATGTTGGTTTCATTCCAAGTTTTCTGAGTGATCTCCACACTGCTTTCCAGAGTGGTTGTACCAATTTGCAGTCCCACCAGCAATGTATGAATATACCTTTTTCCCCACATCCTGGACAACAAGTATTGTTACTTATATTCTTGATAATTGCCATTCTGACTGTAGTGAGATGAAATCTCAGTGTAGTTTTAATTTACATTTCTCTAAATACTTGTGCTTTTGAACATTTTTTCATGTATTTGTTGACCGATTGTATTTCTTCTGTGACGTGCCTGTTCAGTTCCTTAGCTCATTTATTTTTTATTTTTTTTTTATTTTTTATTGTTGGCTGTTCAAAACATTACATAGTTCTTGATATATCGTATTTCACACTTTGATTCAAGTGGGTTATGAGCTCCCATTTTTACCCCATATACAGATTGCAGAATCACATCAGTTACACATCCATTGATTTACATATTGCCATACTAGTGTCTGTTGTGTTCTGCTGCCTTTCCTATCCTCTACTATCCCCCCTCCCCTCCCCTCCCCTCCCCTCCCCTCTTCTCTCTCTGCCCCCTCTACTGACATTCATTTGTCCCCCTTGTATTATTTTTCCCTTTCCCCTCACTTCCTCTTGTATGTACTTTTGTATAACTCTGAGGGTCTCCTTCCATTTCCATGCAATTTCCCTTCTCTCTCCCTTTCCCTCCCACCTCTCATCCCTGTTTAATGTTAATCTTCTTCTCATGCTCTTCGACCCTACTCTGTTCTTAGTTACTCTCCTTATATCAAAGAAGACATTTGGCATTTGTTTTTTAGGGATTGGCTAGCTTCACTTAGCATAATCTGCTCTAATGCCATCCATTTCCCTGTAAATTCTATGATTTTGTCATTTTTTAATGCAGAGTAATACTCCATTGTGTATAAATGCCACATATTTTTTATCCATTCGTCTATTGAAGGGCATCTAGGTTGGTTCCACAGTCTTGCTATTGTGACTTGTGCTGCTATGAACATCGATGTAGCAGTGTCCCTGTAGCATGCTCTTTTTAGGTCTTTAGGGAATAGACCGAGAAGGGGAATAGCTGGGTCAAATGGTGGCTCCATTCCCAGCTTTCCAAGAAATCTCCATACTGCTTTCCAAATTGGCTGCACCAATTTGCAGTCCCACCAGCAATGTACAAGTGTACCCTTTTCCCCACATCCTCGCCAGCACTTGTTGTTGTTTGACTTCATA